AAGGGTAGACTGTACACTGTCGCCGTCCGATCTGTCATAATTTATGGATAAGAGGCGTGGCCACTGAGTGTGAAAGACCTTTGCAAACTTTCTGCTTTCGACCATCAATGTCTACGAACGTTGCACAGTCTTTTTGGAACATTAAATCAGTGCTGCCGAAGTGGGCCAAACGGTTTTTGGGGAAAGTCAATCTCCTAAGATAGGTCAGCTGCCCACACTCCACAGGCTTCACTGGTTAAATCTGGTGCTTATTATGCAAAGAACCGTTTGTCTCATACATGTTTCTTCGCCTGGCCTTGTACTGAATGGAGATATCCCAGGGATGGTCATTCCATAAATAAGGGCGGAGAATTAAGCCCTTACCAGTCAACTTATTCGCACTGGCAAATGCCGTCACCCAGGGTTGAGACCCTGAGCCGTGCTCAACTCGTGGCTGCTTATCCTGACAGCCGACGACGGCCTTGCATCAAATCTATCGCCTTCACTGCTTAGCTCCTACTCCCTACCACACCTAACGAGTAGAATCAATGGGCATCAATAACTGATCAGACAAACACTTCCTCTACTCTTCCGGGTGAACGAAGTTGAAGCTGGAGCCACTGCACTTCGGTGAACAGTTCGTTAGTTGGGAATCTGAACTGAGCTACGTCAACTGGCTTTTTCATGGCAATCCACCAAAGGTCAGTCAGCGCCGTTGAGGAAAAGCCGTCTTAAATAACACAGGAGGTAAGCAAATCCTATTTGGTACTTGAACGTTTCTGCAGATTTATATCCGTGACGAATGATTATACTAACGGCGCAGAATTACTTGTGGCGTAGTGAGGTGTCCTCCCTCACTTCGGTCTATAAATGTGACTCGTTGAGTGTTAAGTGACCACCGTCCAAAAGTAAGTAAGCTCAAAATAAGGAATAAAGTTTTGCCCCCACAGGCCTCATTTGGTTCGCAGGTTACCACATACCCGTAAATTATCGGTAACCAACAAGAATAAACGTATGCAAGCCAGTAAGCTGCCTGTTGAAGGGCGAAGAGCGACTTGGGTATATCTCGGAATGACTTCCAGCGCACAGATGGAAACTTTTGTCCACGCAAGCTTTCAAAAAATAGCCGTTCAGTTTTCGCAGCGTGTTTGTTCACAAACAAACTGGTGAATTCAAACAAAAAGCCTGTTTTTTATATCAAACATGAAACTATGCAATATCTCCACTTGGTTCAGGATCTCGTTTTTATTATCGGGATTATCAATATATTGCTGTTATTATTTTTCTAACGGCAATAATACCAGCCTGCTCAACGAATGTCTAAATAGGTCGTTTCATAAGCAACATTTCTTTGTGCGTCTTAGAGCAAATCCAGTGCCATGAGGACCAGATTCTTAACTGGGTGACTTGATGAGCTCTGACAAGTAGAGTGAAACTGATGACCGGCTGACCAGAATGGCCATTAACCTCATGAGGAGTACTTAAACAGTCTAGTTCATATTTTAGTATTCTGTGGTTCACGGATGGCCTTCCACCAATGATGCAATTGGGCTGTGATCATCTGACATCAGCTTCAGCCGGCTGCCAATCGGAAGCCGGCTCTTCAGTTAACTGTCCAATCGGATACCGCAGGTTGAGGTGAAAGCTTATTGGCTTAATCTCAGAAACCTAATAAGCGGACATAACAGACCACCTTCAGACAACCTTCAGTGAGTGACAGCAATGGCCAGTGAGGAAGTGAAGCAGTCGGTGTGTAACTTTGCTGTGGACCTTTACCGGCAAGTTGTCAAAAAGCAAGGAGGTAGGTCAGGATAGTACCAGATATTTTAAAATACTTTACAGTCGGTCTAAGCAATGTTTTTATCTCTCCGTTGAGTATATATACGGCCGTGGCAATGACCATGGCCGGTGCAGATGGACAAACAAAAAACGAAATACTGGCATCGCTGCACCTGTCAAAGGTCGATAACCCAAATGAAGCGGTTGGATCAATTGTTCAACAGTATCTGCGATCGAAAACTGGAGTTGAGCTTGCCCTAATACTGAAATAGCATATTTTATTGGAGGGCAGTAACATCACACTATCTGTGATCAACGCACTCTACTTCAAAGGTATTTAACAAGTTTGTGAGCGATAATGCTTTTCAAAGGTAACTGGAATTCACCATTCATCAAGGAGCGCACAACTACGGAGGAATTCCATTGTTTGGATGGAAAACGGATTGCTGTAAAAATGATGTTTGTCAAGGCTACGTTTGGATTTAATTCATGGGATGCGTGTGCAGCCCATGTCCTACGCCTTCCATTCAAAGATACCAAGTAAGCGCAGCACAGCACCGTAGATTAGTGTCTGTACAGTACAGCAGCGTTTTTTGATGATATATGAAAATCTGCTAAGGTGACACATTCAAACAACTGCGATTCCATTACTGTCCTATCAGCTGAGCTTCCGAAAACAATTTCTTAAATCAACCTTATCCACTGCATGTGTAAATGTGAGCGTTCAGAACTATGCCTAATTCGATGACAGTTAAATGCAATGCATAAGAGGTTGCTTCTTCTCTAAATTGGGTGTTTTCTTCCTCCTAATTTACTCTTCCTGACAAACTCACACGAGATGCTACCCTCATTCCTACACATTAACGACATATAAGTTCCTTGAACTCCCGTCTACTGATTTCCATTATATTCACAAATGATGTGCAGTGATCCATGGGAACTGATTTGCCGTTTAGGTTTATTCAAAAAACTTATCTGTGTGATAGCCGAAATCGCGAAAAGGTGAAACCTGGCTCTTCGTGAAAGATTCTTCTCAACAACCTGTGAAAATTTGAACTCGTTCGGATAGTTCTACTGCTCAGACACGGTTACTGGGTAAATTTATTTTAGTTCAACATATCTCTGTCTATCATAGATCCAGGAATGAAAGCTGAACAACACGGACAATAGCACTCAGTCTGAAACGCAAATATAATATGCACATGAATCCCTTCATATCAAGTGTGACCCAGTATATATCAACTGATGGATTCAGATTTTTACTGTCCATAATTAACGACTAAGTTTTCATGTGCTTTCGGATCCCCTTCGTTGCCCGGAATTAGAGCTAGAGCTTTTCGAAGAATTATTTACAATGTTATGGAACATGTACATGATTTGAAACCATGATTAGGTGAGAGAGACAAATGCAAGCAGTCAAGCTTGTCTGATTATGAAATCACATGACCTGGTCTAATTCGCCCCTTGTTCACACTACATCAATAAGAAGACAAGAAAACGAGTGTACACGCAGCTGGATGTACACATGTATAGCATTTGCATTCATTTGCCTTAGTTATAGTTTCATCAAAACAGGAAAGTATTGCGAACTCCAGTACCAGTGGCCAAACCAAGAGATCCCATATTTAAGCCACAAAGCTCTGAGGTGAAGTCTGCTTCTCAGGAAATGAAATCAGATGTAATAATACAAATTACTGTAATAGCACATGGTCATTAATCTCGTGCAGCCCTACAGTACTCGAGGTAACGTAGATACACAAGCAAGTATGTGAAATATATGTCTAGTATTAACGACAGTGATTTGATCTCGAGAAGTTTCTTCTCCATTCTTATCGATGGAGAAGTTAATTATGGGCATAAACCTCGTATGATATTAACACAACTGTTATATAACGAGCAGACACTGTGTTTTCCACCAAATAGTGGCTAGAATGAACTCTAGGTGGATAACTCGTCTTCAAGGAGCATATCCCGGGAGACCACATCATGCTTTTTATAAGCATGAATTACCTTAAGAAGTGTAATGTATCGTGCTATTTCACAAGCGTCCGATACATTCTTTGCTTTAGAGACCGCTTGTCTCAGTTTGTGAATTTCGCCTTACTTCAGTTACCACTGCAGACGGTGAATCCACCGAGGCGATATTATTCACCATGGGAACTTTAAAGAAGCATAGAATGGATAGGACATAGGAACATCATCAACATTTCGGTCATGTCATGGTAATGTCCTTTAGCATTAATAAAATGGAGCTCAAAACAGTAACAGTACAACCCGAAACCCGGTTTATCCCGTCAAACACAGTGAACGCTACTGGAGCCATCTTCGTATGGTTAGCGTGACCACACCGTTTTCGCTGTATGTGTAGCCGTTTGCTATTTGGTAAGACAGGGCGTGGTGTGTCCTCTCCACTGATGACTCATGCACATCCGAAAAAACGTAACACTCTGTTTGAGTGAATTGGCTGCGGTACCATTTTTACAATAATATATCAATGAATTGCCGATCCGCCCAAACTATTGTCGATGCTTCAAGCCGTAGCATATAGGGTGACGGTCAAGTCATTTCCAAATTACATTTGTTAAGAAGATTTACCCAAGTTTTCCGCTGACGCCCCCTGAATGTTGTGATTGTCCGATGTGAACGACACCGCATTCATTACAGTCAAATCTGTAAATATGATTCGTGGTAATGGCTTTCGGAATTTCGTCAAGGCTTTACCTGCTTCAAAGCATCGTACGTGGCACAAAACACCTCCAGTAACCAGTAAATGAGATGGACAGAAATTGGCATTAGTTATTGCAACTGTCTGCAAGAGTTCCAAGGATTCATTGACTAAATCCTTTGCCGGATAGGTAATATCTTAAAAAACGACCATGGTTTTCTAAGTATACTTGGACAGTCATGAAAACCAGATGGAGTTGTGCCTGTTGGACTTCGTTGTACGGTTTTACACACCGCTGAAAAGTTCCTTAGAAGGACTAAAGAATAGTCCACATAGTACCTTCTTTAACTAACGCTGAATTCTCCGAAACTGTCCACAGTGACTTTCGAGCTTTTCGACCATCTTGAATAGAATAAATATACATTTTAACTGCTTTTTGTGCCTAAGTGCTTCTCGAATAGAACTCCGTGGAAAATGTTATATCCTACCCGTATACTTCCAAATAGAATAGCTTGGCGAATCAATTATTTAAGATGGCACTTAGAAGTGTCCTACCAAATCCTACGCATGATCGTTTGTACACGTCTAAGTTGGGACGGCCACCCTTGGTTAGGAGAGTAGTTAATCGATTCCCGGCAAAAGCTCCGATAATTCAGCCTGCATCTGAAAAGTTCAATAGCGATATGTGTTTGGTTCCAGGAATAAAATACATTACCGCAGGTGGGCTCCTATGGATGGTTCCGGGTAGTCATCGGAAAGTGTGGGAATACCATGGCATACTTCCATGTCAATATGGTGCTTACATGCCAAACAACACTGAAGGCCTTGGTACGACATCAACAAAATGGTTCTTACACCCGTTTTTTCTTTACTTTCAGGATTTTAAAAAGAATTCAGCGCTTCCTCATATACAACTTGTCGATGAAGTCCCCCGAAAAAGATATCATAGTCTAGATTACCTTAAGTAGTCTTTTATGAAGGAATTAGTGGAATTTAGAACGTTTCTGCTTGGGGCATACTGCACATACATACCATTACGAGAAGCTAAACCATGCTTAAGATAGGTGATTTTTCACCCTGAACAAAAGTGTTCATGTTTGAAGAAAACCTTTTCAACAGTTCAGAATAGAATTTTGTAGATTTCTTCTAAACGTGGGAAAGTGTGTGATCCTCATTAGACTGTATCAGGT